AATGAGTGGCATAATTAAGTCTTATGAACATTGCATACTCATGTGTATTTCGTTATTGTGACTATTTAGTGCCTCTTGTATATTTAGTGCTCAGATGTCATATGTATATTTAGTGCCTGGGAATATTGGATATCCAGACCTTCTATTCCTTTCTATCTATGTTAACACAGGCTCTATTTACTAACTACTTATCTTAACCCATCTGATGAATTCCGCCTATGTTTAACAAACTCTTTGTTTACTAACTACTTATCCTTTCATCCTAAAAGCTTTCCCCTGTTTTACAAATGTATTAATCTTCTTTAGTAGAATTGAATATTCCCTTCCAACTGTTTTGTTTTTCAATGCCATAAAAAACCCTGCTAGGTTTGTTGAAGCCCAAGTTGGACGGTACAATCTGAGCCACTTAATGAGACCATCAAACACTCTTATTCAGCAGCAAAACAGAATTCCTAGCAAAGGCATTTAAATGAGAAGAGAGAAACAAATACACTCAGTGACTGAGCTTTGCACATTCTTGTGGCTTGCGGCAGAAGGTCAGGTGCTGTCATTGTTAGGTGTGATGCCGGGGAGGGCAACCTGGTCCTGCCCCTAATGCTGCTACTGTAAAAGGAGGGACAGGTTTCATTAGACTAACAATGTGCCACACAGCTGGAAGGTGAGAGAGGGGAAGGCAGTGAAAATGGGCTATCTTTGGAGGGGAGTGTCAAAAAGAACCAAAACAGTTTATAAATAAGTTGCTTTAAAAACGTGATAGGGGAAAAATATTTGCAAATGATATATCTGATAAAAGGTTAATATCCAGAATATATAAAGAACTCCTACACTCAATAAAAAAAAGACAAACAGCACAGTTAAAATATGGTCAAAGGATTAAATAGACATTTCTCCGAAGATGATATACATATGACCAATAAGCACATGAAAAGATAATATCATTAGTCATTAGGGAAATGCAAATCAAAAGCACAGTGAGATACTACTTCACATCTGCTAGGATTGCTAGAATAATAATGAAAAAACAAAAGAAGTTAGCAGGGCAGCCTGGTGGCGTGGTGGTTAAGTTCACGCACTCCACTTCAGCAGCCTGGGGTTCGTGGGTTTGGATCCCGGACATGGACCTACACACCACTCATCAAGCCATGCTGTGGCAGCATCCCACACACAAAACAAAGGAAGATTGGCACAGACATTAGCTCTCTCCCCCCAACTTTCCTTTCTCCAACACTCAAATCAATGCCACTGGGATAGAAAGTGGAGAGGACACTTGTTCCTTAGACTTCAGCATCCTTCACTGAGCCTTGAACTACTATTTTTAGACCAATCTCATATACTTTTCTCACCAGCACCTCATTTCTAGGTAGACCACCCCTCTTTGCCACCATGGATGCGATGGAGGCTGACACCACCAAGATTGTGGAAACCTGGAACCAAAGGATCCCCTAAATAAACTGGCATCAGATGGAAGGTGTAACTCGCTTCGGTGCACCAGGAAGAGGTCAAGGCTCCAAGCTGCCGTGAAACCACGTAAAAGTTACCATCCTGAATTGCTACAAAAATTTTTGCACCACAGAGATTCCGATTTACATTGTATGTTAACATACCTAAAAATCCTCAAGTTTATATATAACCCCTCTCCAAGTCAGGCTCACCTTTTATAACAATACCAAACTCTATCATAGATTTTATCTCCTTTGGATTTCTACTTATACCCCCCCACCCCTTTGAAGCTCCCCTCCCTTCAATGTCTCAGACATCAAAGTAAGTGACATCTGTTAACATATGCTGTCTAAATGACAAAATAAGCTCTTACTACTAAGATGATAACGGTAGTAATAGCTGGCATTTACTGAACACTGATAGTATGCCAAGCATTGTTTTAAAGACTTTAAATATGTTGACATATTTGGTCCTCACAACAATCCTGTGAGGCATGGAAAGACTGTTATATTCATACAGATGGGGAAACTGAGGCACACAGTAGCAAGTAGAAGATCCAAGGTGTGAACCCAGGCTACTAGCTCCAGGGCCCCTGCTCTTAATCACTAGGCAACTCTTCTTATATCCTGCATCCTGTATTGGAAATTAGGCATGAGGATAGGAATTCCAAAGCCAGCAGCTCCCCAATTCTCAAAGGAAGTGTTTTCTAAATGAAAGAAAACAAATTAAAAAAACCAAATCTATAATATCCTGAAATCTCTAACCTATTTTGAAACTGTCAGATTTCTTAAAGGTCAGGGATTGGCAAAATAAATAAGTGAAACTTCAAAGTTTAAATGGACTTTA